ACTCTGGCATTACAATCGAAAAGCGCAATTTTTACATCGTAGTGGGGGGACGTGACTATAGGTTCATTCAACGGAGTGAATGGCAGTGCTCGGCGTCGAAGTCTCTCTCTCACCACGAATTCCACACTTACTGTAGTAAGTATCACAATGACGTACATGTCTTCGTCATGCCAGTCTTTTCTATTAGGAGGAAATTAACCGGCTGGAGATCGGAACCTTCCCAATTTTCGTATCGAACACACCAGGTGCACGCCTTTAAATCATAGTTCTTATTACGTTTGCTCTGGTCGTCATGAAAAGTAGAGTTGTTGTTGTTTCCTTTTCATTAGGAGTGATTTCTACGTGGCGGGTCGCAAACCCAGCGCACAACCTCGCYGAGCGACAAGTATAAGGCTTTATACACATTTAGAAAGCCCGTCGATTTCAAGACAAACGCCCGCCCGCTCGCACCTACACCTCTGATGAACACACAATGTAATTATACTTTAAACACGGGTTCATTACAGCATCTTACCCAAGGGTTACTTATGCTTTCAACATGCGCAGCGAAAATGTAAGAGTAGGAATTGGGTATAGTTCCACAACTGTAACTGCTTACACACAAGCATAACWATTTTCYATTTCACCTCAAAACGACTAYTCATGTTTTCACTTGTTCAGCTTGAGTTCTCGACTTCATTGAAGAAAAACTATAATAATATATATGCATGTGTATTTTKTTTCTTGTGCCATCCAATYACTCAGCTGTCTGAGAATTTTTATTTCGARATCTTGTTTACTGGGACAAAATGGATTTAGTTTTACTAAATCTATATTGTATAAATATTGAAATCTTTTGTTCACATTTTCGGGATATCTCATTTTCTTTTAGTTTCACTAATAATGAAATGTAAAAATTTACCAGATGTAGCTTCTAAACTTTTAACTAAAATTAGTTAAAGTTAGTTACATATACAACAAAATTTTAGAAGTTCTCTTTTCCTCTARCACTAAGTGGTATAACTACTATAATTAATCTCAATATCTGCAGTACGTATTATTTTAAATAAAATTTAACTCTCTAATTAACCAAAAAAGGCTCATGAATTATTGAATGCAAAACTATTTTAATTAGTAGTTCTTCTCAACTATATATTTACTTAATTAAGTCAAAATAACAAGTTATCCCTATATGGTTTCAAATATGTTATTATGCATCAGTAAATATTTATGTTGTAATTTGGTATCAATTCAAATCAAAGCAATTATTTGCAAACCGAAATATTTTGATTTAGTTCCAAAACCCAACTTAATGATTAACACCTGCTTCAAAGCTGGTCAACCACACACAATCTTGACTATCAGTGCCTAAGGCTCCTGGCCAACATAAGACCGTCTTGTACATAAATTGAAAGTAGTACTTAAGCAATTATGTAAATGTTTTGTTGCTCATGGTTATATTGGAGTGTGGTTGTATAGTACTTATGTACATTCTTATTCAAGTCCATTACAATTAGTGGCACATTAATTATGCAATACTCATCAGTTGTTGTCAGCTAACATACAGTGAAGTAAGCTTAAACTAAAGCACCCAAGAAATTCACCAAAAATCACAATTTTGAAAGTAACTATGTATGAAACTGCATTGGCTGAATATTCTCCGTAAATTTGAGATTAAGCATTTTTTGAAATGTATGCTTATTACGAGCTATTTGACTAAAACTGAAGTTAAATGTAATAAAGTATACTTAAAAAATGCAATTGTTTCTAAGTTTGACCAATCCATTCTTAGAGTTAACGAATACGTTTTATTTTTGTGTATATTTCCTTTAAGATTTTTTGGTTTCTCCATATGTTCTACCTTGTTCAGCTATCAAATGAAATATGATATGTAGAGATCTTTGTAATATGTTTGTGCACTTCCTATTATAGGTACGAGCATGTCCTTTGTGTCTATTGAACTACTGTGGGCAAAAATAATAAAATATTTTCCATACTTTTAAAATTCTTAATTTATTCCTCAGAATCTATTTCGTCCTCCTTCTTCACAATACAGGGTGGCTGATGAAAGTCGCTACCAAGAAAAAGTTAAATAATTAAATTAAATAATTTTTTTTCTATTTAATGAATGTGGTTAATTTTTTATTTTTATTTTGCAGATTGACTTTTATATTTAGCAAAAATGGATAACTGGGACACTGAAACAAGAATTTGGATTGTCCGGCGCTGTCACGCACTGGAATCCGTAGTTTCGGTTCAAGGAGAGTATAGGCGAAGTTTGGCGRCAATCCTCCGAGCAGATGGACCATAATGAGACTTGTAAAAAATTTTGCCGAGCATGGGAGAGTCAACAGAAGACCTTACCATCGAAGCCCTTCAGTTCGAAC